GGGGGGCAACGGCAAGGGGAAAGCCACCCCCCCCCCCCCCGCAAACGGGCAGCCCCAGCGGGGAGGCAAGGGGGCCGCAGCTTGGCCGGCCGTGCCGGGGGGCTCAGGGGAATCAGAAGGGGGCGCGGCGAACGGAGAGGAGAATGACGAGGGGGACGGGAGGACGGTTTATCGATGGCACGTGGATAGCTTGATGGGCGGTGGGGCGGACATGGACGTGGTGCCGCTTATGGAGGACGGGTTCGGTGAGAGATGGTTATTTTTCTTTTTGGTTCTTTCTCGCAATGAGTGATCTTTTGGTCGAGATTCCAGGATACCCTGTTTGGCCGTGTGGAAACTGAGGGAGAGTTGCTCAGAGTGCTGTGAAGCATGGCCCTGACGGCATGAGTCTGTCTCTTTTGTGGCCACACGGTTGTACCGATGGGTTGGTTGGCGGTTGCACCCCGACAAATGTAACACGCTTCCTTGTGTGGTGTGATGTTTCTTCGTGCGCAGCAGCAGGGCTGGCAGCACCGATCTGTTTTGCTTGAAATACATTTGAATTTTGATGCAAGCGAATCACGTTGTATCGACGACGGCGTCGATAGCCAGCACACGATCATTGATCCCGAAGCAATAGCAGTAGCGCGAACCAGCGACGGCTTTCAATATTTTTTGGGACAAAGCAACGTCACAGACGCCGCCGGCATGCGTGTCTTCTGTCTCCACGCTATGTATCTGTCGCTCTTGCCCGGGTGCCAGTGACGGACTGGGACCTGATGGAGAAGGTGTGGGAGCACGCCGAGCGGACTCGACTCAAGACGAAGCTGTCGGACCACCCGGTCCTGATCTCGGAGAAGCCTTTCAACTCTTCGAAGGAGAGGATGAAGTACACGGTGAGAAACCCGCCTTCGCTCTGCTCACAATGGCCAGACGCCGGCAAAGCCGTCGGGGCTGCTTGTGCTGGTCGGCGTCGTCATTGTAGTAGTTGTTGTTGCTGTTGTTTTCGCTGTTTTTGGCAGCTGCCGTTGTTGATATTTGTTATTCGTACGCACAGACCCATGGTTTTCTCTTATCGACGATGTCTAGGCGGTGCTGAGCTGTTTTGGCTGGCTGGCTGCCTGAAAACGCCGTGTCTGAGTGTTGTTTGTTAGTCCGGAGGCATTTCACGAGCTCCCCCGAAACGAGAATGGTTCGTTTGTGGTGTGGAATGTTCGTGTCGCATTCAATCCGGGAGAGCATGGGAAGGGGACCCGGCGCTATCTTCTCCAGAGTGCTCTTGCATGTGTGTGTGTTTCTCTCGACCATCATCATTTTGGCATTCGCTACATACTCCGCAAGGAGTTGGAGACTTGTGCACATGGCCGTCTCCCGGAGTTGCCTATTTGGTAGGCGGTTTGGCCCTAGTATCGCCCCTCCCCCCCCTGCTGAATGTAGCACGAGAAATAGGCTGTGTAACCCGGCCATACCCCCCCTCTCTCCTGTCGCGAGAATATGTGCAACCGGGCCATGCACCCCCTGCCGCTAAGACTATCATACCCGAGTGAATGTCGATGCCCCGACTGGCTCTCTTCGATACACAACAATCTAGTCACCCCCCTCCTGTCGGCTGTGCAAACATCTCGTCCCTCCCCCGCCCTATCAGGAAATGATGTTCGAGAAGTTCGGCGTTCCCGCGGAGTTCATGTCGAAAGACGCGGTGCTTGCGTGCTTCTCTATAGGTCGGACGACGGCGTCGCTGGTAGACGTGGGGGGGGACAGCGCGGTAGCAACACCGGTTTACGACGGGTGAGAAAAGTCTCCGGTCTCATCGTTTGCTGGCCCGGGGGGGGGGGGGGGGGGGG